CGTTGCTGGCGCTGGGCTTCCCCTGGCAATGCGGGTGCTGGGCCCTTGTGCCGCGGCGGGGTGGCCGGCGTCACCAAAGGCAGTGTCCGATAATGGCCCCATTCTGCTTTTTGTGCGCGTAGAGGAAAATGGGGAAGAAAGCCATCTTGTATCTTTCTCTTTGAGTTAACTCAAGACACCCTAACGCAAACTGAACAATTATAAGAAACCATATCAAATATCAAATATGAAAAGTTCTACTGGCTAAAATGGGGCGCCGAAGGCATATTTTAACCACCCCTTTGCGCTCCTATCTCAGCACCCATTTTATTTATCCAAAGAATTCTTGGAGTCCAATCAGCCCAGTTATTGCGTGAAGAAGCGTGTTGCCATGCAGCTCGAATTCTATGTGCTTGCAAAAGCCTTTCGATGATCGCTGCTTTCACTTTTAAAGCATCTAAGTAAGTGTTCTTTGTTGCGCCATTTATGCATTAGCGCCGCGCCGCCATCGCAAATTAAATGGGAACTGGGTAACTGTGTGTGCAATGTTCGGATAGTCCAATAAGCGGCACGAGCCTCCGGTTATAAAATTGTGTGTTGTGGTATTTTCCAAGTGTCTACAGCTGCTGAAAATTCACTTTTACCCTTGAGCAAGGGCAAACCAAACCCGTCCACAGACGCACCTGCGACTGGGACAGCTGCAGTGGGAACCGCCCGTGGGGAATAAGCGGGCCAGGTCTTCAACACGGGCCGGCCAAACCATGTTACACTCTAAGCGCGTAGGGGGCAAACTCAGCTGGGTATTGGGGGCCGACCGGCCCTCCACTCCGCTATGGTGAATGTTTCCGTATAAATTTTAAAAGGTAATGAATACTTCAAAATGAATCCCCCTCAAACCCCCACTGCGTATATCATGTGGGGGGCTGTGGCTTCTACGCTATCAATAGGCCACGTTTGGGGGTCGACGGTTCCGGTAAGCGTTGCAGCGTCTTTTGGTGCAAGGAGACTGTCGTGGTATTGTGGCTGAATAAAACCTCTATAGCATCGTTCTCTTGATGGAAAACCTTTTTGGCCCCATCTATTTACATTATTGGCAGTTGTGTTGTTGTATATGTTCGACCGTGTGGGCTCGCTTTGCCTACTTCTTCTAAGTTGAATTCTATATAGCTAAATATAAATCTGTGGTCATGAAGCCGCTAACTGCGGTCTTATGGCCATGGGGTCTACTATCATCTTCTTTGTGATTGCACATGCGGATTCCGGGCTTCATTTTTGGCCAATATGGAGCCAGACAACCCGAACCAGTTCCCCGGTCCCCATTTTGCACCGGAAACGTGCTTGCATATCTTCCCATAGGGCAACCTGAAAGAAAGTAGCCTTGGTTTCAGATAAGGCCACTGCCCCATCGTAAAAGTTGCTCGGTCAGTGCGGTATCAAACCAAACGTGGCGCTTGGCTTCTGGCATTTGGGGTTTTTGATCCCTTTGGGCAGCGCGATGTCTCGCCCCCTATCGATTTATCCTTTACCATGGCAAAGGGCACCAACCTTCCGTTTATGCCGTTTGCCAAAATACGTCCGAAAAAGTCCCTGTTTTTTTTTCCATCAACAGATTATCGTTTTTTACAGTCCGCAATGTTGATTCCTTTCTTTTTATTTCTGAGACGGCAGTTCGCCACAGGCTGTTTCACAGCTTCTTGAAACAATCTCAGCTTTCTGTTTTAATGTACTGCCAAATGCACATAACTAGCAAAGCGCCTCAACCCACGTGTTGTAACGGCACGCATTCCCCTTCTTCATAAAATGCCACACAAGTAAGATGCGCTCCCCACGTAATTCTTTGCCGTTGAAAAGGGACTCAGGCAGAGCTTCTAATCTACAGCTGTTTTGGCGGTAGCGCGATCCATTTCTGCAGATTATCTTTACTATCAGCCTATCCGGCGTTATTTTGTTGCCCGAAACCGCTCAATAACCAAAGTGGTGGGTTGTTCTTCACTGGAATTGCAGAGGAAACCACTGTTTTCCCAACTGTGCCAAAATAGGGAGAACGAGAATATTTTGGACGACGGCTCCTTTAGCATAGGCAAGGGCCTTTCGATTGATGGAGGGCGCGGCTGCGCCGTCGACTCAAAGGGTTCTTTCCGTTACTCTTGCCATGGCGATGGTTTTTTTGTCCTTGCATGTGCTCTTTATAGCTACAGAAATTATGTTTTTCACCTTCCTCTACGATGGCAGACTGCCTTGCTTATCCGCAGAAGTCGATCTTGGAGAATTTTTCGAAGGTCACCTAGCCCAATACTATGGCAGCCCTACCGCACAAGTTATATGGGGTCGTCCACGTCTGTTACCTGCAACCAGGCTAAGAATTTTTCTGCGGAGGTTTCCCTTTCACCAGCATAGTAAGAAACCCATGTGAATACTAAACGATGCTTCTTTTAGTCAGTTAAAGAGATACTATCAAAAGGGGAATTGTTTTATCGAATACTCTAATGTTGTTTCTTGCCATAAACTGGTAACACAGATGCAGTATAGGCCCTTTTTCTTCTCAATCGGACTGAGCTTACATTTACTTGGGTGCTCCGTTGACCTCCGATACCAACGCTGCATCACAGGGTCAGTTGAAGAAATGGGAATAAACGTGGCTTGGCTGACAGATTTTGGTCATGGTAAAAGAAAGCTTTTTTCTTTAAAATATTTACCATGGCTGCATATTAAACATGGCGTTATACTTGAAGGCCGTGCGATGCGCATTTTCACAGCTTTATAAGCTGATTTGGCCATACAGCCGTGCTTCGCCGCATGTTCGCCAGCAGCCTCTCTGACGCCATGGGCTATCCCTATCTGGCTTTTAATTGGAGCATGGATGAACCTTACTGCAAATACAATACCCTCCAAACATATAAAACATGGGCATTTATCGTCCAAAGCCTTAGTGATGTCAGACCCGATACCACGGCAGCAAGGCCCCGTTCCCCGTATTGTCAGGGGAAGCCCAGCGCCAGCAACGCTCGCCCCTCGAAGGGCTTTGCGGCGCCAAGCTTTTGGCACCGCACGGCACCAGGGCCAGCCGCGCCCCGCTGGGACACAGTATTGTATTTCCCGGTCTTGGGGCGCATGTTGCCGCACCGTCCGCAGCATAACCCGCACCAAGTTACTGCTTAGTGGAAATGTGAAAGGGAATCCCGGCCCTACGTTGAGGGGCATGCAATGGAACTCGGCTAGGCTAACACAAGCCAAACGCCTAGCCTTGGGCAAACGGCTCTACGATGATAACATCGCGTTTTGCCTATTGAGTGGAGCCAAAATACCCCTCACCCCCCCCCCCCCCCGAAGCAGCCAGTTTCGGACCCCCTGGGCACTAGCGTTGTGAGGTAGCTCGTGCCTGTCGCGGTGAAAGTGTACCAATTATAATCAGGGATGAGAAACAGGTAGAGACAGGACCGGCGCTTGCCGCAGGCGTTGTGCTCGCGCAGGTGGCCGCCCGCCTGGGTGCAGTCATGGGGCTGATGATTTCATTAGCATACCTTCCTCCTGCAGCCGCCAAAATCACTCCAGAGGACCTCGATAGACACAACAACACGGACGGGCCACAGCTCATGGGTGCTGGCGTCAATGCGCGCGCATTTGCATGGGACCACGAGGCCCCACCCGATAACAGAGGCGATGCCGTTGTGCAATGGTGTATTGGCAATGAATTTCTTGTTGCCAACACTGAAAACCGCACACGGCATACCGATAAGAATAGAGGCCCCGCGCCAGATGTAACGCTGGCAAAGGAATGCGCAGTGACAGATTGGGCAGCGCGGCCCGCCCCTGACAGCGACCGCCACAGCACCACTTATGCTGCCCAGGTGGGGGAGGAAGGCACTCCACTAGAAGTGCCGCGGATCTACAAAACCTCGCTTGCATGAAAGAAAGCAAACTGGTCGAAGTTCCGCAAACTGACCAATTCACACTGCAGGCTTAAAAGAGGCATGAACCACATAGACACCATAGAGAAGCACATCACATCTGGGATGCGGCCTGCCACAAAGGCAGAAGTGCCGGAGGGCAATCGACGCCAGTCCCCGTTCTGGACCCCTGAGCTGGCAGACTTGGATAAAGCAATTGCCGGAGAGCCCCACGCTCAATCCACTCGGCGGCTGAAGATTCCACGCAGAGAACTTCTTCGCGCAGCTACCACTGGCCGGTGGCGCGCGCTTTGATAAAACCTTGAAGCACCTAACGGCGCCAGCTGGCAAACTATAAGGCGTGTGTGCGCCCCCCGCCCCCTCAGCAGACCAGCCGTCAAGGCAGATGGGGTTGTGCTGTCACACAACCAAAAGGCCAACCGCCTGGCCCGCATGTACGCTGCAATGGCACGAAGACACCCGTGATCTTACTCCCCAGCCCAATCAAAACAAGGGATGAGGACTTTCAACCAATAACAATGGCTGAAATCGATCGCGCACTGCTTCTCCTGCCGCTAGGATCAGCACCGGGGCCCGACATGATACATGGTGAGGCACTACGGCACCTTGGGGAAATGCGCGAAACACGCTGTCCTAACGCTCTTCAACAAGAGCCTGCGCACTGGCATCGTCCCACAGAGCTGGAGACACGGGGTTATAATCCCACTCCTAAAGCCGGGCAAGAAAGCAACGGAACTGGCGTCATACAGGCCAGTCACGCTCACCAGTTGCCTCTGCAAACTTATGGAACGCATCGTAGCAGCACGCATTCGTGATGCTATAGAGTCAAAGCCCACACCGCAGCAATCCGGATTTCGACCATCCCACTCCACACTGAACCAACTATTGCACCTTCGAGCGGTAATGCATCGACCGACTCCTAAGGACAGAACGGCCGCAGTGTTCGTCAATTATGCCAAAACATTCGATACAGTCGATAATGATAAAATCATACTTGCAATGCGACGACGTGGCGTACCGCCACACATAGTGCGATGGTCGGCATCCTTCCTGCGAAACAGGGCAGCAGTGGTTCGTGTAAACAAGGTGCGCTCCTCGGCGGTGTCCTTCACGAGAGGTGTACCACAAGGCACGGTTCTTGGGCCACTCATGTTGATTATTGTTATGAATTTTCCCAGCCTCCGCCTAGCTGAAGCCCCGCTGTTACGGCACGGCTTCTTCGCGGATGACCTCACCCTGATTGCGCGACACAGCGACCGAGAGATCCTGACCTCCACCCCACAACGGGGACTAAACGTGGTGGCATCCTGCGCAATGCATTACTTCATGAAAGCCAACGCGACCGAGACGAAGTATACTTTCTTTGGGACCAAAAGTACGAACCCCGTTGGTCCCTTTAACAACGGCACGCCTGTCACCATGGAGCGGCTCCCGGCCCCTGCTGGGCATCACATTCTAGAACTACCGCGGAATAAGCTGCCATGTAGCCCATCCGCAGCAGCAAATCAACCAGCGGCTCATGCAGCTAGCGGCCGTCTCGTCCTGCAGCTGGGGGTCAAAGGGAGACACACTGCGTGCCTTCTACTTGGCCCTCGCGCAGGCCAAAGCAATGTATGGTATAGAAGTACGGTACTGGGACGCATCACTCACCTCGCGAGCTACTCTTAATGCCGGGCAATGCAAAGCTTCTAAAGTAATAGCCGGCATTCCCAAAGGCAGCCGCAAAGAAGATGCTTTACTTGAGGCCACCTTGCAGCCACTAAGCGCGACGGTACTCACCCGCAGCCTAAAATATATGCTCTTGTGCGAAACGTGAGGGGGGGCTGTGCGTGACAGCGTCAGAGTGGTATACTCGACCGGCCGCCTCGCAAGACAATTGTATACCACCATCAGGGCACAATACCCAGAACCCTATATTGAAGTTAGGAGGCCGCCCCTGGCGCCTCTCATGCTGCGGTGGGCATATCGAGCCCTCTTTCATACATCGCTTGAATGTGTCACCGCGGAAGACCCGGACGGGGTCAAGCTTCAAACCTGCACCGGACGTTTGGCCCGAAACTTTAGCCGGAAAGGACCTACGCCACCTGAAAGGCTACACTATGAACTGTGGGCGGATTGCTCTGTCGAACTGGGAGTCAAATCTGGCGCAGAGGCTATGAGTTACCGCAAT